CCAAGGAGGGGTCACTATGAGTTAGGGCCGACTCGACGGCACACAACTACTACTACTAATAATAATAAATGTGCTAGATTAGCCTGAGTGTTGTTGTTGTTGTTGTTATGTGCCTTCGAGTCAGACCCGACTCACAGTGACCCCTCCTTGGGTTTCCAAGGAGTATCATTATGGAAGTAGATTGCCCAACCTTCCTTCTGAGGAGTGGCTGGTGGGTTTGAGCCTTCTGGTTAGCAGTCAAGTACCTTAGCCACTATGCTACCAGAGCTCCTAGCCTCAGTGTAACTTTCTTTATATAGGCCTTTTGTGTCTCTGTTTAGATTTATTCCCAAGTACTTCATCTTTTTGTTGGTTATTGTAAATGGTATTGCTTTCCTGATTTCCTTTCAGAGTTTTCTTCATTAGTGTAAAGAAATCCAGCTTATTTTAATATGTTGATCTTGTATGCTACTACTTTGCTAAAACTATAAATTAGTTCCATTAATTTTCTGGAAAATTGAGTCTTTGGGATCTTCATAGATGGCAGATGGGAGAGCAACAGTTCTTCACACCAGCTGATTCTTCCTCACTTAGTAAGTTTGTTTTGCAGGAGCCAAAACAACCTTCCTTCCTTGCTCGTGTACATAATGAAAAAAAGGAGTAACTGTTACAATTGATGCGTTATAAGATCATTAAAAAAAAAAAACCTATAAACAAACTTATCTTTTACTTCCATTTTCCATCATTAGCTTGGAAGTGCCTGGGAATATTAAAGTCATACTATGTGCTGATCTTCTACGTGTTTCCATGAAAACCCAATTTTAATTGGAAAAAAAAAGGAAAAATAAGAAAGGACACATGTTGTCTGGTTTGATAGAAAGAATGAAGCCTTATACATGTGTGTTATTACCAAAGACACTTTGTATTTTGACTCCTATCAAAATAGACATGATCTTGGACAAAAGATTCTTTAATGACAGTATTCAATAAATGATTATAAGGGAGCATAGTTGATAACTATTTTAGTTTGATAGACTAAACTAAACTATTTTAGTCTGCTGGACTAAACTAAACTATTTTAGTCTGATAGACTAAAATTCTCCCTGTTTGAAAAGACCTATGTGTATTCATAGTGTGTGTGAGTTGAAAACTGTTAAGGTTTAAACATACATACTGATATATATATGAAAAAAAAAAAAAAACATATCTCAAGAACACCTTAAAGCAAGAGAAGTCGGTTTTGTTTAAGATAACACATGTCCAACAAAAGGCTGCAGCTGACAGGAATGTCTTTGGAAGTGAACTTCATCTTCACCACATGTCTCACATCAGACGAACTCTGAACTGAGTGGAATCTATAATTTGACAAGACACCGCTACCTGTTAGTACAGTGTCAGTGAAGTTGCCTATTATAGAAACTGAATCAAAAAGCTTTTATTTTCAAGCATATAAACACTGACTTCGAAGGGAATTTTCTCCAGTGGCTCCTCTCCATGTGAGAGGTAAACATTGCAGAATATTCTGAGATCCTTGATCTCTTTCCCTTGCAGACTTATTAACACCACCTGCCGAAAAGGTATTCCACTGAGCCCTGTCTTTGGTCACCCTTGCATCCCAAGCTTTCTTGGCAGGACAAGGGGAAAATAGAATTATAGCATGGGACTGGGAAACAGAATTTGTCCTATAGCACCAGACCCTCTGACTGCTTTCTTCTTTTTTCTTTAATAACATGAAAGCATCTCTAGTTTTTCTCTTATCAGTAACATCAAATGACTTGTCAATAGAATACCAATTCTGGATGGTAAGGGCTGTCCATGTGGAAATAGGTTTTGATCATTTAATTATTTCATTTACATACTGCCAGGAGAATTCAGTTGCCTCAGGTGAATTTGAAATTTAGGAAGAAAAAAAGTATATACCATAATTTTAACAAGGATGGTTTCTTAAGAGAAAAACATTTCTAGAAAACATGAAACTAGGGCAAAGATACATTATTTACCTGTGTTAGGTTCCTATGAAATGTGCTTGTGAATTTATCTGATATACAGAAAGCATTCAGTAACCAATAGCTGCTATTTCAATGATGAGTGTAATTAAAAATTATTAATGTTACCCAACTTCTAAGTTTAATTTTGACTTTTGCCATCTGTCAATGCTTCTTGACCACAAACTCATCACCCTAAGGATAAACCCACTGCTATACCTCAGCAAAAACCAAACTCACTGCCATTGAGTCGATTCTGACTCATAATGACCCTCATTGGGTTTCCAAGGCTATAAATCTTTACAGAAGCAGACTGCCTCATCTTTCTTCTGTGGAGCAGCTGATGGGTTCAAACCATGAACTTTTTTGCTGCAGCCAAATGCCGTAACCACTACACCACCAGAGCTCCTTACTGTTACACCTACTCCTCACTTATTGACCATCTTATTATCCAAAATTTTGCATTTGTAACAATAGTAAAAAATCTGTTGTCTGACTATTTTGTGCATTAACAATGTATGTCTGGCAATGATGAATGCTGAGGTAAGAGGCAAGAATAACGCTGGATGTGATGGTTAAGCTTATGTGTCCATGTGTTCGGGCCATGATTCTCAGTGGCTTGACAGTTATGTGATGATGTAATTTGGCAGTTACATCATGACGTAGTCATCCTGCACTTTTTGGTCTGATGTGGTCATGCTCCATTTTTGCATAATGCCAATTTTTGCATAATGACCTGGTCTTTCAAATCTGATAATATGAATTTAGTAAGTTAGGGGTGGGTATATTTGCTTTTCCATAAACAATGTTTTCTTTTCTTTCTTTCTTTCTTTTTTGAGTTTTCACATTTCCCAGCACTTAATGCTTACAAAGCATAAGGTTTTACACAGGTAACCTGACATTTGAACAGAGAGCATTTTTAATTCCTGTAACAGTGGTGACAAATGGGGAGAAGGCTGGCAGTGAGAGGAGAGAGGGAGTGAAAGGGAAACAAGGAGGAGCAAGGAGGGAACCTCGGGCACAGGAGAAGCCAGCTGGGAATAGTCTCTGTCGGGTAGCAGTATTTCCTCAGCCAGATGACCAGGGGACTCTCACTCATGCATCTGCTGGTCTTCCTGATGGAGGCAGAGTATCCGCTTGCGTGCATCCAGAGTCTTTGCTCAAGAGCACTCACCCCAGCACAGTGGTGAGCTCCACAAAGCAAGAGCTGTCACTGACTGGGGCCAGTGATGAGAAAAAGAAATCCTTTAATCAGATATGGGTTTCATTGTTATTCTTAAGAAGTATGCATTTAAAAAGGCATTTAATGGTTGTAGATGTTGGGATAAACTCACGCCCCTCAACCCCAGCTGGACATGGCAGCCTTTTTCACAAAACAGATCCCTTTCTGAGTACAGAACACACACTTGTGTCCAGGATGCTTTATGAAAACTGCCACTTGTTCTATGTGTGGGCTCTAACTCAAAATATCCCGATGGCTGAAGGGTTTTAGAGAAGCTGTTCATTTTCCTGTGTGCTGACCACATGTAGTTTCTATTTACTTGACAAAAGGACTTGCATTTATGTCGTTTAATCCTTTCATAGAAATTTCACCTCTTTCAAGTTACAGTTGACCCTTGAAGAGTCATGTTTTCATCTCATGAAAACCCTTGCTTTTTGGTTGTCTCCCACATGAAAGTAAAACCACTACATGGATTTCTGTGTGTGAAACATACATTTTTAACCTTCCTTGAATTCCTGGCTGTTTGAAAGCAACTGGTGTTCAATCTGACATTCACTGCAAGACACTCTGTCTGAGGCTATGCCCCTGTACCTGGAGCCTCACCACTTAAGCACTCCCTCATTCCATGTGGTCCCCTTGTGAGGTAAGTTCATTCACACTGTGAGGCAAACACTGGCTGGGCTTTACTCTGGTTTGCAATACTTTGAGGCACAATTATTTTCCTTTAGAAATGGCTGGAAGAGAAATCAGTACTATCTAGAGTCATGTAAGTATATTTTATTATAAACTTTATAGACATATCTAAATATTAATAGCTTGCTGCTTTGGATAAGATATACTACTCTTTAAAACACAATGCCTGGTACATGGTGTTGCTCAGGAAATGCATGAATTTTCATGGCCAACTGAGTAAAAAAAAAAAAAAAAATACTGCTAAGATCTCCCAGGGGTAAATATTTGAAGTTCATTGTCATGTAAGCACTGTTTGTATTACTTTCACTAAGGGTTTTATATTGCCTAATAAACTATTCCATGAAAATATATGTTCATTAGTTTGAACATTTTGATTATCATGGCCCTATGGACTAAATAATTGATTTAGCCAAAAATCAAACTATTCAGAGATTTAACTGAAGGGACTATTTTCACACACTGAATTCAGGCAGTTCTTCCAAAGTGGCCCAGTGTTTGGATATAAAGAAAACCTGAGTTTTCTATTTTGTTGTTACCATTTTGGGATTATTACAGAGCCTTTCTTCATTTTTCTGCCTCAAAAATGCTGGAGAGAAAAGTTAATCAGCTGGGTGGATGTATCAGGAAGAGGCATAATGCCTTAGGAATAATAAACTCTTGATATGCATGTGTCTTCCCATGATACAGAAGGGTCCCTGTTCAGTAGGATTCTGTGTTGCCTCTAGCCTCTTCAAACAGTAGCTGCCATCCTGAACCTATCTCCCAGTGGGAAAGAAACTTCTCTCTCTTCCAAGAACTAGTGATTTCAGTAATTTCCTTTTTCCATATTTCTCTGGGCTTCTCCGAGAATGTTCAGAAGGGCAGAATGGCTTGCTGTCCCGGCAGTGTCTCTCGAGAACATGGAGGCAGGAGATAGCTTAGCTCTACACCTATGAAAATGTATGTTCTTTTCTAAGAAAATCTGTGCAGGTGCTGTGACCAGTAGATGGCAGAAGTAGGTTCCTGAGAAAAATGATGGGTGTGAGTGTTTGTGTTCTTGCCTGAAAATGGTTGCCAAGGGCTAGGCAAGGCTAGATATGTAACAAGTAGTACCTGAATATTAACCTCTTTTTCTTTCCTAGAGAATGCAGTCGGATTTTTGGTGAAGATGGTCTAACATTGAAGCTGTTTCTTAAAAGAACTGCTCCTTTTTCTATTCTATGGACTTTGACTAATTACCTGTATTTACTGGCTTTAAAGAAGCTGACGGCCACAGATGTCTCCGCTCTCTTCTGTTGTAACAAAGCCTTTGTCTTCCTGCTGTCGTGGATTGTGCTGAAAGACAGGTTCATGGGAGTGAGGGTAATGGCACAATTGATTCAATGCGTGATGCCTCCCTTAATCGTAAAACGTTGGCCTCAGGAGAACCGCTTTGTTTCGTGGAATTTCTGTAAAGCTTTTTCCATTGGTTCTGATTACAAATTGAAATTTGAAGATGCATTTGGAAGTCCAGACGATTACAACATCATGGCAGAATAAAGAGGTTCTTTTAACTGGGTAGTCAGCTGATTTCAATAGGAGGCACTAAAATGGACAGAGAAAATAAGTTCTTTTTTTAGAATTAATTTTTAGAAGTAATGGTGTGGTCAGTCCCTTTCTGTCCTCAGAAAAGAAGAGTCTGAGAAAATTAGCCACCGTAAAGATTATGATTTGCTTTTTCAATCAACATATGTTGGGACAACCCCTTTGTGTCATCCCCACCCCCAGAGATGGATTTAATTAATATTGGTGTAAGTAGATAAGATTACCAAACAGTAATTAAAGTCACTGGTAATGACACATGCTGTTAAAAGTAGCTATATATCTAGTGTGACTAATCTAGAAATGGAACTAAAAGCACCAACTTATACTTTGGTGTACAAATCCTTAATTGAACTGCATTAAACTTCCACCAGCCCCTTCAGTTCTGAGTTTATTCCTTTCAAGAGTAACATGGCTTTAAAATAGTTCTGTGTTAGAAATGGATTGTTTGAAAGCCATGCAGATATAAGGACCAGAGCTCATTTATATAATGTGGCATGCAGCTATGATAAAAATATTGAGACAGTAATTCTTGAGAAGGATGTCCAACTATATAACCTTTTCCCAGAAAATAAACATTACACAGCTTACTATTCACTGAAAGAGATGTCCAATATTTTGCTGTCAAAATTTTGTGCTTATTGGCAATGGTTCCAGGATCCTTGCACCTCAAATGCTGAAATTAATATCTATATTGGAGGGAGAGTTTATGGTGACCATTAACTCTGAAAACTTTTTCATTTTTTTAATTCTAGACAAGTTAGCAAATTCTGGTTGTATCTTGGGAGAGCTTCTCAGAAATGAAGCATAACATGAACAGGAAGTAGAAATCCATGATAGAAGACAAGATAAAACACTGTATGAATCAGTCCAAAACACAATTAGAATACACCCAAAGATGATACCACATTCTCCACTAGCAAATCTTAGATTTGACACTCATAGGACTGAACATCATGTTTTTATACCTGAACACTGATTATCCACTATCAGGCAAGGACCCTCACTAGTCCTTGAGAACAAGGACCTTCCCTGTATTCACTGCTGCATTCAGAATGGTCCACATATGTGTGCAGCCCATTGCAAAATGAAAATGCAGAGCTCCTTGTTAAAAAATTATTAACAATTTCAGGGTGGTGACAGCAGAACATTAAACCACGGTGTGCCCACAAAGTGAGTCCTGCCACTGTTTCCAACACGTAGAGTAATGCAGGGCACAAAATAGGGGTTCAAAAGCTATTTAAGGATATAGAGAATGAACATATGCTTATAGGATCTTTCTGTTCACTATCTCCCACCACCATGGGCTGCCCATGAGGACTTGGAAAGTCTTGGCACAAGAGGGAAAAAGAGAGAAGATTTGGGAGTTTTCTGTTCTCTCCGTGGCATCTGAATGCCAAAAATCAGTTTAGACCTTCACTATTCAATTTACCAGATAAAGTATAAAATGGTGAGAAAACCAATTGTATTTGCACGAATGATTGCATTTAACCATGGACCTCACCAATGCAAGAGGTCACATTCTATTTAAGAAAGTGCAGTGTTTGAGTCTTTCAGATGTGGGGGGTAGGGGACAAACCCAGGTGTGTAATTTATATTTAAATCATAGCTTTAGGAATTTGGCATCTGTAGTGGGTTGAATGGTGACCCCAAAAAGTTATGTTCATCCTCTAATCCCCAAAACCTGTGAATGTTACCTTCTTTGGAAAAAAAAAAAAAAAGTCTTCACAGATATAATTTTGAGTTAAGGATCTTGAGATGAGATCATCCTGATTACCCAGGTGAGTCCTAAATCCAGTAACAAGGGTCCTGGTAAGAGACACACAAAGGAGAGACACAGAGAAGAGGAAAAGACGGTGTGACCACGGAGGCAGATTGGAATGATGTGGCCAGAAGCCCAGGGATGCTGAGGCAGCCACCAGAAGCTAGAATAGAAAGGAACAAATTCTCCTTTAGAGCCCCCAGAAGGAATGCTATGCTGCGTTTTGAACTTCTAACCTCCAGAATTGTGAGAGAATAAATTTCTGTTGTTTTACGTCACCAGGTTTATGTTAATTTGTTACAGCAGCCTCAGGAAAATAATAGAGCATCTGTAAGTAATAAGACCTGATAAAAGAAATAAGTAGCCAATAAGTACATATTAATAAATATATGTATAAATTAAGACATCATAGATGGAAAAATAGTGAGCATTCACGTCAGGCATGCTGTTAGAAGTCAGATATTGTTCTTTCTGAATGACAGGAAGTGGTTCACTTCTCACTGTGAAATATTAGGAAGTGTTTAATGCCATGTTCCAGAAAACTGTCAAAGTAATTTTAATGATGCCCATAATCAGGCCATGAAATATGAGAAGCACCAAAACATATTCAGCATTTTGCCTTTTGACAGTGTCAGCAATCCTTTTACTCTTGAGACATATTGAGAACATGTATAATTAGGTCATTTGAGAAACTAAAGGAGGCCAAATAGAGTGCAGACGACATAAATGGAGTTCTTGCTTATTGCCTACATCTAAGTACCTAAAGCACAGCCCCTCTAGAAGCTACCCTGCTGGAGTACTCTTAAAAACAAACAAAAACAGTTAAAGTGTTGCATGCACTCATAGATTAAAATTTATATTTCTGATCATGCTAAAGCTGCAGTGGTTTAGAAATAAATGGTTAGTATATTATAATTCGCATTTGCTTGGCCCCAAAATGATCACATTTAAGGTGAAAAGATAAGGCCTTCTCTACGCCCGTTCTTTCATGTCAGAAGAACACCATGGATGGAGTGAGGAATACTTTTAAGTTATAATATTATAACTTGGATTTCTCCAGCTGGCTAGAACTATCAATTAACTATGCTCACATAAAAACTAAGTATGTTGAATAACTTATTAATATTTTGTTTCTTTGGAATATTGATTAAATTACAGATGGAAAAGTAATCTCTTACACATTTCATTTTCTATTATGAAGTCATTTCAGTTAATTTGCTGGTAAACTTTGATGCACAAAAATCTTTCATGAGCAATTGTTTGCATCTAATATATGATCTCATATATTATATGAAATTAGTAAACCTCTTTAAAAAATCAGATTTTTTCAAAAATATTGAAAAACTCTTGGTAAATGATAATTCAGCTCTTGCAGTTTTGAGGAGCTTTGCATATCTGAGTATCTGTCTTATTTAGCTAGAATTCACAAATTCCTGGGAACAGAGGAATCACCTTAATGGTGAATGAGCCGCTGAGAGTATTTTTCTCTCTCTGGTGTCTACTTCACTCCAGTGAAAAGTAGAAAGGTAGAAACCTTTCTTTCAAATCTGGTTTCTTCCTTCTTCTTTTTTTTTTTTTTTTTTTAATTAATTGAGTTAATTTTCTTTCTTTCTTTTTCAAATTGCTTTGTTCATAGGGAGAAAATTGGTGGTCAGCGAAGGTTCAGCAGACCTCAAATTTTTTAGCCAATTTAGGTGATGAGTTTGGGTCCCTTCACCTTGGCACTCCAATATTTTCCAGTTACATTGGGTCCCTATGCAGCTATGATAGCGTAGGGCCTGAGGCACTTGACTGCTAACCAAGGCAGTTCAAACCCACCAACCACTCCTTGGAAGGGAGGTTGGGCAATCTACTTCCGTAATGACTCCACCTTGGAAACCCAAGGGGGGGGTCACTATGAGTCGTGTCTGACTCGACAGCTCATAACAACAACAATAACATGCAGTTAGCTGCCCCAATTGGCTGTTTTGGAGACTTCCTGGATCCACTGAGGACTGCCACAATATGTTAGTTAAATTGAATCTTTCACTGCTTCAACTGTGCTGCTTCTGTGAATCAAACTGAGCTCCAGTGTTCTCTAAGGCAGGACGTTGGAGCTGAGGGGCTACTGATTTGTGCTGATATTACATATTATGGTTCTAGATGATGTTTTGTTTCCATCTCGCCTTTGACTGACATTTATGTAGTAACAAGTCTTGTGCAGTGCAGATTCTGCGTCTTTTATCCAGAACCTTCATGATACCTGGGGGAGGGGTGAAGGGCGGGTAGTGGGACTCTCCCCTTTCATCTCTTCTTGGCAAGACAATGACTTATGAATAATGCCAAGAGGGGAGAAAACTGGGTCCTGATGGCTCAGATTTTATGCCCAGAAGGAATCCATAATCCCTTCAACAAGGTGCACTCTATGGTTCTACTCTACCCTCCACACACACACTTCAGTCTTTCCTTCTGGGATTTCTTTTTCCTGTTTCCCATCAGGTTTCCCTTTGAGATCATTTTCAAATGGATTTTATCCATATACAAATCAAAATATGTGAGGAGGCAGGGAGAAATGTTGGTTCAAGGCCCTGCCACCCTTTTCTCCCTCACACACACAGCATCTGTGTGACTGAAGACTGCCGTGTTTATTAAGGAACCATAAATGTGACATGTGCAGTGCAGAAGTCTTAAGGATTCTGTATAGAAAGGGTTCCTTGACAATGAATTCTGCCTAAATACATACACTCAAGAGAGAAAACAAGGATGAAAATCAGGGTTGCTCTCATTGGCCCAGCCAGTAATGTGTGTGTATCCCAACCACAACCGCTAACCATTGGTCTTAAACCTAAGTACAGCCACTGCCAAATGTAGCTGTGAGTGCCTCCATTTTAGGAACTGTGCAGGCCCTGGGATTCGAAGGTCCATTGAAAGCCAATGAAGCCTCTTCATGCTCTGCCTAGATTCAGGAAATAGAATTAACCTCAATGTCAAGTAAGGAAAGAGAATTGGGTTATGATCACTCATTTAGATCTTTAAAATC